ACGGCCGTGGGTTTGGCTACGGGCTGGGAGGCCTGGGCTGCTATGGCAGGAGGGGTGGCTACATCTGCTGAGGACCCTCAGCACCACCCCTGACAGCACCTGTGTGAGGTGGCAACAGCTCTGGCATGCAAAGCACTTCAGCTGTCCGTCACCCTGTTGCACCTCACACCACCTCCCTTCTCACTTCTTTCTCCTGCCTTGTAATTCTTTTGCCTCAATAAATTTTTCCTGGAATGTAGCCTCACACGTCTCCTCCTCCTTTGTTCTACAAAGGCTCTTGCAACTTCACCTAGCACCAAGTCAAGGGTCAACAGCCCATTGGTGTCTATGGATAAGGAGCCACAAGATCTTTCCTGGGGTTTTTGTCAACAACAGGACCATCCACCAGGAGTCCAGGATGCAGCACAGGCCCTTCCTTTTCCCAAAGCCTTGGACACACCAATGTAGTTGTGCCCATATCAACAACACAACCTCCTGATAGCAGCACACATTGGTCCAACTCTTCCCCTCCGGGATTCTCTGAACATCCCAGAACTGGAATCCAGGAGTGCATAAGGAACCCAGGGAAATCCATTAGTTCAAGCTAGCCTGATCCCCAGACAAAGCAACCACCCTTCCCTCAGCTGCCTCTCACCGAAATGGTTCTGTACATTCTCCAACATCTGTGGGTGTTCTCAGTTCAGTCAGAGAGAAAAAGAGAGGTTTCTGCCAGGCCGGGCCTGGGAAAGAATTGGAAAGGAATGTAAATAAGTTTCTATCTCTCTTGTTGTTCACATTGTTTATACAAATGTTCAGCCACTGTGCGTTATTCACTAAGCACCAATGGTGTGCGATGTTCTTACTTTAAGACCAGTAAAATTAGTCTGAACAATGATCTCGATAAAAAGAGTGATGTATTCAAAATAAATCAGTTGAGTTCAATTCATCTAGCCTTCTGAACTGGAGTTCTTTTGTTCCTGTCCTACCTCAACAGCGACAAACATCCTTGCTCTTCTTCGGACATCCTCAAGCACCTCAATGTCTTTGTTGCTGTGAGGGGCCTAAAACTGAACTGAAATTCAGAGTGTGGCCTCACCAGTACCCAGCACAGTGGGACAGTCACTGCGGTGGTCCTGCTGGCCCCACTATAGGTAACACAAACCAGGACACCACTGATTTTTGTGGTCACTTGGGAACACATTGGATCGTGTTCAGCTACTGTCAACCAGCACCCCCAGATCCTTTTCCCATAAGCAGCTTCCTCGTAGATCCTTCCCAAACCTGGAGATTTACGTCTTCACTAAATTCCAAGTAAAAATCATCCATAGCTTTTTCCTCACTTATTGAGGAGGTCACATTGACACCTCAGGTGATGAGGTTGGCCAAGCAGGACCTGACTTTGTTAAAGCCAAGCTGGCTGGTCCTGCCATTAAATACTCTCAAGATGATCTGCTCCAGCAACTTCTGCAGCACTGGGCTCAGGCTGATAGGCTTGGAGTTGCCCAGACCCTTCTTCTGGCCCTTCTTCTAGGGAAGAGTCTCATTTTCAAGCCTGCTTCAACTGGGACCTCTCCAGTTAGCCAGGAGTGCTGGCAAAAGATAGCAAGTGGCTTGGGAGTACTTTCACCAGCTCCCTTAGAACCCTTAGGAGAATCAATTCCGTGCCACACGCCACACACAAGTCTTCCACTGACCATCCTCATTGGATTATGAGGAACTGAATTTTGCTCCTTGGTAAGGAACCTTCTCCCTCAGCAGGACGCTGTGCCCATCCCATGAAGCAGAATCACAGCAAAAGGAATCATTAGTGCTCAAAGAACCTCTTGGAGGTGACCAAAGACTCATCATAGGATGGTTTTGCTTGGAAAGGACCTTGAAGATTCTCTTGTCCAAACCCCTGCAGTGGACAAAGACACCTTCCACTGTCCCAGGTTGCTCGAAGCCCTGGCCAACCTGGCCTTGATCATTACCAGGGTTGGGGCAGTCACAGCTTCTTGGGGCAATCTGTGCCAGGCCTGTGCCAGAAGAATTTCTTCACAATATCCCATCTAACTCTACCCTCTGGCAGTGGGAAGACATTTCCCCTTGTTCCATCACTCTCTGTGTAGGAGATTCTGGAGTTCAACCCAACCTGCTCAAGGAAGGACAGCTCAACAAGGTTGCCCATGACCTTTGTCCACTCAAGGTTTAGTAATTTGAGGCCTTTTCCACTTTTCCCATCACTTGCTAAAAAGGAGGAAAGAGCAATAATAGTCTTACAAAAGAACTCCTTTCAGAGAGCTGAAGAAAGGGAGAAAATTTCTCCTTTGGCTACCTTGTTTGCATCTAAAAAACTGCAGTTCCTTCATCCACTACTCAAAATCTTGTTCTCCAGATCCCTCAGCAGCCGTTCCTAAGATGTGTCACACCACAGAAGAACCATTGTAACACCAGCGTGGCAAAGCTGGAGCAGAACCAAGGAGAAAGGCAAGTCCAAAACACAGGTCTGGTGGCCAGGTGGTGATGTGAGAAAGAATGACCACAATGGAAAGCTCAGCTCCTCACTCTCAAAGACCAGACCATCCTGACCTGGCTGGAATGGAATGGGGCCCCTTTGCACAACACACCCACAAACAGAACCACACAAGAGCAATAGGGTGGTAACTCCAATGACACCTCTAAGTTATTGTTGTCTATTCTGCATTCTCAGACACATCTGAAATGCAAATCCTCCCAAAATAGAAACTGCCACATTAAAGCTGCCGCCAAGGACAGATGGACATGGACTCAAGAGCAGGACACGACACTGCAGAATTCCGTAGAACAACAGGACATGACACTGCAGAATTCCGTAGAACAAAACACACCTCATCTCGTGACTCACCAGACTGGGGCAGGCAGGAGCTGCTGCCTGCAAAATGCCCCAAGGCCATGGGCCAAGGCTGTCCCACCCCTCCAGGACCAGCATAAAAGCCAGCCCAGAGCCTCTCTCCCTCACACACTTCTCCTGAAGCCTTCTCCTCCTGCTCCTGCCAACAATCAGGTGAGCCTCAAGACCCTGACCCTCCCTCCTTCCTCGTGGCCCTGCTCTTCCAGCAGGCTTACCCCCACCTCAGCAGTGCTCACACCTCCTCAAAGCCCCAAAAGACTC